GAGTTGGCAGTGGGTGGTGATGAATAGTTGCCTTCCGTCTAGTCTTACACTGCTAAATTAGGGACGGCTAGCGCAGATAGCCCTCGTGTAGCTTTGCGCGAAATTCCAAAAAACAAACAAACAAACCACCCCAACTCTTTTTCTCAGCAGATAGATTCCAAAATATTTTCAAAAGTAATACAGTGTTTCACCTATCTACATTATATCGAACCACTCATTCTGTTGCTCTTTTTGAAACCTTACGACATAACTAAGTTATGTAGACTACGTGTTATTACCCAACATGACATCCTATCTGGATGTTACAACCTTACGACATAATTTTTATCATGTCAAGACTACATCCCAACCAACATCACATCCTATCTGACATAATTTTTAAGATGTCAAGAGTACAACCCAACCAACATGACATCCTATCTCACATAATTTTTAACGTGTCAAGACTACAACTCAACCAACATGACATCCTATCTGATATAATTTTTAACGTGTCAAGAGTACAACCCAACCAACATGACATCCTATCTCACATAATTTTTAACGTGTCAAGACTACACCCTAATGGCCAACATGACATCCTATCTGACATAATTTTTAACGTGTCAAGAGTACACCCTAATGGCCAACATGATATCCTATCTGACATAGTTTTTAACGTGTCAAGACTACACTCTAATGGCCAACATGACATCCTGACATAATTTTTAACGTGTCAAGAGTACATCCCAACCAACATCACATCCTATCTGACATAATTTTTAACGTGTCAAGACTACACCCCAACCAACATGACATCCTATCTGACATAATTTTTAACGTGTCAAGACTACACCCCAACCAACATGACATCCTATCTGACATAATTTTTAACGTGTCAAGACTACACCCCAACCAACATGACATCCTATCTGACATAATTTTTAACGTGTCAAGACTACACCCTAATGGCCAACATGACATCCTATCTGACATAATTTTTAACGTGTCAAGAGTACAACCCAACCAACATGACATCCTATCTGACATAATTTTTAACATGTCAAGACTAAACCCTAATGGCCAACATGACAAAATTCGTTCACTACGTGGAAAGGATTCCAAAATGTTTGGTTTTATTATTTTTTCCTAAATAGAACTGAAAAGTATTTAAATTGGAAAACTTGATAATCTTTAAACCTACCTTAGGATATTTACAACGCTGTCAAGTTTTACTAGAAGGATAAAGATACATTAAAATTGTTACAACGCTGCAAAGTTCTACTAGTAGGATAAAGATACATTATGATATTTACAACGCTGTCAAGTTTTACTAGAAAGATAAATATACATTAGGATATTTACAACGTTGCCAAGTTCTACTAGTAGGATAAAGATACATTAGCATAGTTACAACGCTGCAAAGTTCTACTAGTAGGATAAAGATACATTAGGATAGTTACAACGCTGTCAAGTTCTACTAGTAAGATAAATATACATTAGGATATTTACAACGCTGTCAAGTTTTACTAGAAAGATAAATATACATTAGGATAGTTACAACGCTGTCAAGTTCTACTAGTAGGATAAAGATACATTAGGATAGTTACAACGCTGCAAAGTTCTAATAGTAGGATAAAGATACATTAGGATATTTACAACGCTGTCAAGTTTTACTAGAAGGATAAATATACATTAAGATTGTTACAACGCTGCAAAGTTCTACTAGTAGGATAAAGATACATTAGGATAGTTACAACGCTGCAAAGTTCTACTAGTAGGATAAATATACATTAGGATAGTTACAACGCTGTCAAGTTGTACTAGAAGGATAAATATACATTAGGATAGTTACAACGCTGTCAAGATCTACTAGAAGGATAAATATACATTAAGATAGTTACAACGTTGCCAAGTTCTACTAGTAGGATAAAGATACATTAGGATAGTTACAACGCTGTCAAGTTCTGCTAGAAGGATAAAGATACATTAGGATAGTTACAACGCTGCAAAGTTCTACTAGTAGGATAAATATACATTAGGATAGTTACAACGCTGTCAAGTTGTACTAGAAGGATAAAGATACATTAGGATAGTTACAACGCTGCAAAGTTCTACTAGTAGGATAAATATACATTAGTATAGTTACAACGCTGTCAAGTTCTGCTAGAAGGATAAAGATACATTAGGATAGTTACAACGCTGCAAAGTTCTACTAGTAGGATAAATATACATTAGTATAGTTACAACGCTGTCAAGT